CCCTCTACTGTGAGTAGATCGGTCTCCACAGTCTACACATTTCTACAGGGCGTATGCGTATTTGGGCAAAACTGGTGCGCGAGGCAACATTTAAGAAATTACCAATCCTTGCTAGTTCCTAGCCCTTCTTCATCTGGAGCCTTCAACACCGGTTGCTTTCAGGCAGACGCCAGCCAGAAGGAGGTCCGCCGCGCCTTCCGCAGGAAGCTCTGGGGAGCGCGTGATGTTGCCTAAGGCTTGAGGCCTTGCACAGATGGGAGGAGTGCTAGTCTTCTGAGGGCATTTCAAGAAGCTAATGCTTGTATGTAGCTGCGCTGTTGGTGGCCCTCATTTTTGAAAGCGCCCATGTCCCCAAATCATGGGGTCTTCATGTAAAGGGGCTTCTCTGCCTTGGCTGTGAACATTGCACCCTGTGCCGGGTACCTCCTGAGCTGCAGAAAGATGTTTGTTTTCCAAGTTGTTTGCAAGTTGGAGCTGGAGATCTTACTGAGACTTATGAGGCTGCAAGAGGAGCTTCTCTCTGAATTTTGAACCAGGTCGCCCTGCAAAGCTGGCGAGCTACAATCAACTGTTTCAATGTCTCAAAGATTCCTGAAAGCCTTGCTGATCTACATTGCCAGATGATAGAGGGAGCGAAGCCTGCGGCATCAGCAACCAATGGCACTAGACTAGACGATAATCAGGAATGCTAGGTTATTTGATGTTGCATGAGGCCGCTTGGCACGACGATTTCACCCAGATGTATGTCCTGCGGCCTCTTGTTTTTCAATTATGGGCAGTTTCCAAACTCACGCGAGCGTTAGAGTTGGCAAAGCAAAGCCTGCGTAGTCATCACTGCTGATCTGCATGTAGAGACTTCTGCTTCAGCAGAGGAAACTCCAGCCACCCTTGCACTTCATTTGTTTGGTAAGTCCTTTGCGGGGCGTTCACGTGGTCTCGGGAGCATTGTGCAGGCAAACCCAAACCTGCGTTTACTTTGCCTTTGATGATTTCAACAGTTCCTCGCACGTGGGTCTCGGGCCTGCCTACGCCAGTCTAGACTCTATTGTAGGCATCGCTGGCTCCCCCACCAGATCTCTGCGGTTGTCATATTGCATCCGCCCTATTCTAAGCTGGGCTCTTGATGAGCAGTTCCTACTGTATGATTACTGTAAGCATGACGCGGCTACCCTTAATGGAGAGGCATGCAAAAACGATTGGGTCTTCAGCATGCCTTTGAATGTAAGGACTCTCTGGCGGAGACTGCCATGAAGTTCGTGGGGTTCTCAGCTCGCGCAAAGCACATCCAAGTGCTGCATTGCAACTTCTGTGCTCTGCCTGCTTCACATTGAAGATTAATCTGGCATTTCCTGAAAGAGCAGAGCTGCCCCTTGCATTCTCCAAAGCATTGCAGGCACGCAAGAAGGGGATTTTCATTTTGGAAGCCTGCAGCTGCTTGAGAGAATAGCTGGCATGTGGTACCCCTGTCCTTACCACAAACTGTCAGTCTATGGAGGGTTATGTAGGTGGCAAGTTAAGGAACTGGTCAAGAAAGTTACGCGTGCTGAAGTTGCATTAGCCAGACGTCTCAGTTGTACTCAGTTTTCGTACGCGTCGCTTATGACACGTACAGGATCGCAAAATCATTAAGCGACGCGTCCCAAATCGTTTTGTTGTGAGCTTACATTCGGCAACTCTTCATTCTATTGACTCCAAGCTTACACCCATCTGCATAGCTCACTCTCTTTGTCTCTGTCTCTCTCTCTCTCTCTCTTTCTTTTTTGATCTATCTGTGCATGCTTCTGTTTGTCAATGCAAGATGCGGTCAGGCAGATGCACGTATTTGAATGCTTCATGGAACTGGGACTATCGAGGTGTCCATGAAGGAAGCCTACGAGCGTATCATGGACGCCTTTGCAGAAACAGAGAACCCTGAGGCAATGCGTGAGTTTCTCAAGTTGCGCGTCCTTGTTGAGACGACTGCCAGAAATCCTGCTGTTTGGACCCACGTACCACCATACAGAGAACCATGCTTGGCAAACAGTTGTGCGCTTCCCTCTAGCAGGCCAGGCTAGGCTTGACACCATCACTCGATACCGTAGGAACAGCCCAACGTCTTCTTCTTTGTAAAAGCATGTTACCAAGACGCGCAAGGCCCGTGCGCGCGGGGTATCGAGCCTCGCTGGCTTCATGTCCAACATGGCGAGAGGCGCCACGAACCGTTTTCCCCCCGGTTTGCATTTGCTGGTAGCTGGATGTAGTACAAGAGACAGAAGTGAGGAACTTTCTAAAGGGCCGCTGTACAATGTGGTTAGGAATATTCCTACACGTTATTACTGTGTTCTCTCTTCAGGATTTTTGGTTAAGTGAGATGGGGGCAACGTTCAGATAACAGGATGTGTCCGACCGGCCGTGGATAGCAGCTGGTGGGCGTTGCAACACCATGTGCTGTAGTACTTCAATGCATGGCTGCAATTCTATTTGGCTTGTGGGGCATGGTCTTGACAGTGGTAGGAGTGGCAGTAGCAGTACGCGGCATAAACATGCAGCGTTCACAAGGAGAAGACGCGGATTCTTTCCTAAAGCAACCAAAGAAGTCAAAGGAGCTAACCAATTGGGGAAAAATATTTTTCCCCAATTCTTTAGTACTCAAAGGAGCTGTTTCCTTGGCCTCCAAGCAAAGGTTTTTCTGACTTCTGGGGAGCTCCATGTCTGCCTCCAGGCCGCGGGCACCATACTGCAAGCTCTGGACAAACGCCTGGCCCTTGAGAGCTTTGAAAGGAAAGCCGTGTGGAATACCAGTTATTACCAGTTTCGGAGTGCAACACGAGCATGCAGAGATGCAGCAAACGTAGCAGCAACATCTTGGTAACAAGGAAGAAGCCACACAAGCTGCATGCCTCGGGCATGGTTTCACGCTAGGCTTGATTGCCATGGACATGACGTACATATTTGCCTGCTGATGACTCACGCAGGTTCCCCCAACAAGATGCGGCGTGTTTCTGTGTTTCTGCAGACGCTGTCAGTCGCATGTGTTCAGCTAGCAGGCCCTAACTGTAGCAGGCCTTAGCATCCAAGAAGCCAAAAGGAACTTTTGACAAGGCACGAGCTGTGGCTGGACCTCCGGGGGGATGCTGACGGCTTAGCCTGCTGCCCAGGATGTGATGCAGTCAGAGTACATATGCATTCTATTATGCTATACTACTATGATAACAGACTATAGTATACTATTACATATATTATAATCTACTTAGTATGATATGCTATGAGTAGGGTAGGGCAGCAAGCAATGCCGTCAGGCCTTCTGTTTTCACAGAGTATTTCAGGTTTATGCTGTTTGGTTCGTGGTTTTCGGAGGTTTGTGCTCAAGTTGCCGGTTGCCAGTGGGTTTTTGAGCCGGAAATATTTCCACTGTAGTTCAGGCAGCTACCTCCTAGATACCGAAGCCTATACCCAACAGCCGATCTTGCGCTGAATGTGGCCTGCCTTCTGCCTAGGCATTGCAGTCCTGTGAACGGCACGCATAGGTCCATGTTTGCATTGGGTTAAGGAAACCAAGCTTGGGAACGGCTTTTTTTTACTGCCCCATGTGGTTTCGCATGATGATGGCATGTGCCGGCCACCAGCAACTCTTTGAAAGTCACGGCTTAAGATCGATAATGAGGTTGAAGGTGCTGGTCAGGAGCCATGCGCTACAGGATCTGAGGCGTTTAGCGGTCACTGAGTGGCATGCGCCACATCCTCCCAGACGCGCGCGTCCCGCCCAGATGTAGAAGGCCCTTCACACCGCTCGCGCCTGCGGTGGATGCTAGTGGTTTTGAAAGAATGTCCGCGTCACGCGTGGCCCACAACTTGGCTTCCCATCGCACACGCAAGACCCATTAAATCAAACCCCAGAGCATGAACTCTATTTTGGACTTTTAGGTAAGCTTTCCAAGAAATCAGGGATGCTTGGCAATCTTCAAGCCGATTTGTTTAAAGGTCTTTTCGGCGACCCCTGCCAAAATCTTGTAACACATTCTAGCCTGACAAGAGACTTGGGTAAACGGTCAAGTTGTAGGGCAACAACAAAATCCTCGGGGTTACTGACCTTCCTGGAAGTACAAACCTAACACCTAGACATGGGATGACATGGGGTCTCCCTAATTTGGTAGAGCGTGGCCACCGTTTTGAATTTTCCGCTCAGCCAGCTCCCTTTACTAACTAACATGACGCTCCACAGTGACCCTCTAAAAGAAACAACAATAGGCTCCACAGGACCCAGTTGAGATTCCATCTTGGAGACTGCATAATCCCCTGGGTGTAAGCTGACCTCTAATATACCCTAATCTCCGAAGCCCTTAACCCTAATCTCAACTGTGTCCCTACAATGCCCTCAGAAGAGCTTCATGTTGCAGTCCGCAAGGCCGAGCCCCATCGACTGGTGCCAGCCTCAAAGTCTGGATGTGCACGAAATTGGATAAAGGACTTTTCTGTGGTTGGCAACCAGTGTTTTGAGGTTATAAGTTAGCAAGGACAATCTCGGTTTCAGATGTGAATGGGAGCTGAGATGGGGTTTGAGATGCGTCCTCATCAAGCCGCAAGGAATACAGAGGAGGACTTGAATTTGGCCAAGGGGCGCTACGCCCAGGTCAGCGTACGCCAAAGGAAGTGCTTAGGCCCGCAAGTTGCGGTTTCGGGCAACCAGTCTGACTTGCATTTTCCATGAGAGCTCAAGATTTTAACGTTGAACCAGTTTGGGGCAGGACAACGTGTACCTCACGCTCACTGAAGGGCACCCCTGAGAACTCGGTCTTCATGACTCCTTGCACGCGCCCAGCCGTGTGAACAGTAATTAATTGAAGGTTCACGTTTCCTTAGCAGGCCTGATTGGGCCTGTCTGTTCGTGGCTTCTTCGCACGGGCTTGGTTGATGCCCATTACAGAGACACATCAACAAATTCCAATAACACGTGAACGCGGCCATTGCAATCAAGACGAGTTTTCGACTCCTGTGCCCACCTGCCTGCTACTTCTGCAGCTATGGCTGGGGGAGGCAAGCAGTGATTATGATAACTTTGGCCCTGACCTTGCGACTTCCTTCCATCACAGGCAAGAGTAGCAAAGGTGTGACTATTGGCTAGTGATACTGCAGGGACACGGGCTTTGGGTTTGTAGAAATCATCCTTCAGGTTTGGAACGGCACTTTTGATGCAAAGTATGTGAGTCCACGCCAAACAGCGGTTGGTGGTCTGGCTTCGTCTAAAGACTGAAAATGTGCTTGTAACTATCAGATACAAACAAACTGCGCTACATGCATTCCCAAAACACGGAGTGGCTCTGTCTTTGAGTTTGGTTTTGATTAATGTATCCTGCTATCCCAAATGCCTACAAGAGTGGTTCTGAAGATCAGCTTCTAGTTGGTATCATGCTACTGGTGTTCGGGAACCTAGGCTGAAACCTACGATGCGACGCCCGTGTTAAAACCCTGCAGCCTGCATACGAGTTTGAGAATACCACGAAGTAACTAGCGCTATAACGACTGCAGAAGGCGGTAGACTTCGCAGGGACTTGACAAGGTGAAACGTTGCCTCTGAGAAGCGTAGTTCTTACCATCTAGAAACTTGTGGGCTACCAAGCCCTGATTTTGGGAAGTCGCCATGGCGGCAATGGTATTACAGCTCTCCTCCAATATTTCCCCTAAAACCTTCTGCATGGCAACTTGATTAATTGCCTGCCCTCTAACGACTTAAGCTTTGAAACGCCAGAAATCCTAAGCCCTACAGCCTGGTTTCGGAGGCCGCCGCTGCGCGCGACTTGCGGCCCTGGCACTGCTTGCAGCGCTGCTGCACAGCTCGGCGCGCACCTGAGCTGAGTTGCTGTTAAGGAACTTA